GCCGGCCGGCTCCCTCCCCTCTGCTGAAACGCGGGGCCTGTCGGTGAGGGCCGGGGGTTTGCAAGGGCCCGGCAGTTTCTGGCCTTGCAAACTTTGTGCTGTAAACGCGGCGTGCTTCAGGCTGAAAATATGCGCGGGTAGAGGGCGTCAGTGAAAGCAGCAGCGCGGTATGAAGTAGCTAAATGGGAAAGCTGCTGTATGAGGGGAAAAAAGTAAGGAAAAAACCCCACAACCTCATCCCTCCCCTCATTCCATATCGTAAAATTTATTTCTCCGTGCTCAGTTTTCTCTGTTCCGTGTAGATTCTAGAAATAGTGACAAAATGTTGACTACTGCGACAAATCCTTCACACACAGCAGTTTTTAAGTTCAGTGCCTGTAATAAGAACACCCAACTTCTCTGAGTGCAGCAGTTTTAGCAACAGTTCTCTTGGCTTGACATGTCATTTATTACTTTTAGATGGTAGAAAAATAAGTTTCGGAGAGGCCTCGGTAAGATGGCACCCTTTCTTTCTCTAAAGCTTTCATCCTCTAGACACATACAAAGAGACAGGCTTTCAAAGGCTTCACAGAGTTTGGCTGAGGTGTAACATTTTCCAGGTTTGCATATCCAACAAATATTAAACACAACACAAATATAACAGGGATTGTATTTACATTATTGTGGTGGCCGATGGGCTTGCAGCGTTTCTAGTACCATGTTTGTCGCTGAGGCTGCACAGTAAGACTACTCGTTACATGGAAGAAATGCAGCAGCTTAAGGGGTCTGACTGGAAGCCTTTCAAGCTCAAAGGCATTGTTTTTATAGAGATGGTATAACTGAAGTTCAAAATGAAGGGGCAGCAGTATTTGGCTTTTAGTTTCAAATGGAAAAAAATCAATGGATTACAAATATGTAACTTTTCATAAAATGCCCTGGTGGTGCAGCAGCATCTGAGGTCAGGGTACTGTATGACCAGGAGGCTGGGCAGCTGTTGCGAAGGGAGCAGAAGAGCCTGCAAGTCAGAGGTTGTATCTGTGCTGGAGTGATTATAGAGCACAGCATGAGCTAAATGATTGTTAGTACACAGATGTATTCATAGAGTTCCCATGACAAACTTTAATTGTATCTTCTGGTCTAGTTTAAATCACCAAATCTGAGTTTAAACCAGATTAGCAACCAGAATGTGTCTTCCTCTCCGCCCCACTAAAAAACATTTACTGTGTTGACCTTTCTAGTAGCCTTCCTTGCTTCTCACTTCCCTAAAAGAATAGGAAGCTGCAGGAGTAGTCATTCGTTATCATTTTTTCCCTAATGTGTTCTTCTTCCTGCTTTCTCTATGATTGTGCAAGCCTGAATTCCAGGAGGACTGACTACAAGTTAAAGCATGAATTCTTCAGAGCACAGAAAATTAGAATGGGATGAAAAGTATTCCTAACTGTTAATTTCTGGCTTAAAAGACACGACTCTTGGCCAAAAAGCCAGTGCCTGGCTCCAAGATTGAGAAAAGAGACATTAATAAGACTAAGAAAGAAAAAATTAATACCATTTCATTCCCCCACAAAAAACAGTGCATTTTCTGTGTTCGAAGAACCTTACAAATTTTTAAGAGAGTTGAAACAGGGTTTGCCTAGCACTGTATAACTTTCATGAGCTGGAAGACGCTTTCTAGCTTGATGAGAAAAACTTACCTTAGGACATTATAAAACTTCTCCTTGATGTCTTATACATGCTTGGTCATTGCCAAAACACATACAAAGGTAATAATTAAGTGTGCACTCATCCTAAAAGTAACAGTAAATAATTCTCTTGAGCCCATGATATGTATTAACATGTCATATACAATTATAGTGGGAATGTGTGTGTTTGGAAAAAAAACACAGTAGCTCTTGCTATTTTTTTTTTTTTTTTGAGATCAGTGTGGGAGAGTATCTGGTAATATTAAGGCATCCTTTGCTTTTACTTCCTAGAGTAGCTTAAATGGAAGTATTCAGTGTTGCAGAAGAGAGAAGAGGTATTTTTTAGGATGAAAAAAAAGTCAGAAAAGTATTTTATAGGAGGCTTTCCCATTTAGTGGCCAGTAGTCTTGTCTCTGAGTGCTCTTGAGTCTGAACAAACGGTGTTCACCATTCGCTGGAAAAGTGTCACAAAGATTGAAATGTAGTGGAACAAATGTTACATGCTCATGCCTTGACTTTCCTCACTGAGGCTCTTTAGCAAAGTATTGTTTCTGTTGTGTTCCTCAAAGTTTTCACAATTTCTACATTTCTGTGGTGTTAAAGGTGGATATCATTTTTTACGTCAGGTACTTGCAGAGGTTGTCCATGCCACAGTGATACAGATCTACTGCTCCTCATGCTATGTTGTGGTTTTGTATGATTGCCTTGTGTCAAATAATGGCTTGTCAAATACCACACTGCCTTTCAGTGCAGCATGGCGCTAATGCTAGAAATATTTACAGCTGTTAATAATTTTTCTTACAAAAGTTGCGAGTTAGTTTTGCATGTAAGTTTTGCAAGTTTCTTATTTAATTTTGCTACTCCTCAATACAAAATGGAACAGGCAAAGACAGGTGTGTTTGTCCCTCTGTGCTAACAGCTCCAAGTGTTCGCAGTGTGCTGCAAGAGTAATCCTGTCTCTGGTCTGACCCTGGGAGAATAGCGCTATTGTGGTATTTTAAGATAGTATCAGTATGTTACATAAGTAGTTTTTGTAAACATACACAAGGAGAGAAACAGAGGCCTTCACAATCTTCTTGATTTCACGTAGTTATCATCAAAGATTATATCAAATATGCTAAGTGCTGTTATTAAAAGTAACTTAAAATGTATTTACAGGTCTTTTTAAACATATATTTCTTTTGTGTCTTCCAGAGTATCTGCTGACTAGTGTCAAAGATTTAATTGCTGTTTGTTTTTGCTAGTCCTCAGGCCAGCAGAATTGAGGAAGTTGCCAGTGTTTCTTCTTGTAAAGGAAGCATCAATGAATTGTATACTTGCAGATTGCTAAATGCAATGGGATTACATGGGTATTACTGAGGGTCTAATTGAGTTAGCTACAAATCAACACTGTGTGAGAAAGACCCTAATTTCAGAACTGAGACTGAGTTTGTAGCACTGGAATAAGAGAAAGGCAAAATCAACGTACTTTTCAAACTTAACTCATTCAATGAGGCATCCTTAAAAGGAAGTATTGGTTGACCTTTTCTATTAGTTTACATTGAAAGTGTAAAGGACACTTTCTCATTGGACTAAATCCATTCTTCTTAATGAAAAAATCGTATTTTACTTTGATATTGAATTACATTCTCTACTTCTGCCTGCAAGGCTTGCGTGGCATTGTTTTAACAGGGAATGGCATTCCTTTGTTTCTAATACAAATAGTACAGTTTTTTCTTTCTTTTTTGTTTTCTTCCCCTTTTCATGTAGCAAAGTCTGGGGAGAGGCAGGGGTTATCTATTCTTTAATGAGTAAACTATGGAAAATGACGTTAATAATTATACTGCTGTGGCTGCCGTGTTTCTGACACAGGTCTGTGGATTACATGTTTTTTCTCTTACACATACCAGTCATTTTGACAATGTCATCCAATATATATATTTAAAAATACATTCTGGAAGTAGTTGCCTGAAGTACTAGCTCTTACTTCTTTTTTATAGTTATTGATTAACAGGGCACATTTTCTCTAGTCAGTGAATGATCTGTTACTCCACACAGAACATCCTTTCTAGCTGTCTATTTTCTGCCACGGTAGATATTTGATGTTTGCCAAGTCGCTGTGGTGAAACTTAGTATAGTTATATAAAGTGCGTAGGCCTGCCTCTCCAGCGTGACTGGTGATCTTAATTATCTGTTTCACAATACCTGATTTGAAACACTTGAAAATGAAGACCAGTTTTAAAGCTGTGTGACTTTTAAAAAATCTGCCTCTTTTTCTATTCTGTCTAAATTGGCAATTGTAATGGCAATTTTTGTTACACAAACACATTTTCACAATTCTAACAGAGACTTTGAACCTCGAATTGCATTTAGTCTTAATTGTCATTCAAGAAAAAGATCAGTGCTGTCAAATAGAGGAAACCTTCTTTCTAGATGACGGTCAGAAACATTTTGCAGCCCTGTCGGTTAAAAAGTTTCATCCTCTATGCTTACAAATGTGATAAGGTAATAATTTACTAGAACTTATTTCAATGAAACAAAATCATTGAAGGGAAGAGAAAAGGATCTTATCTTTTAAAATTGCTTAGTGATGTGTAAAAACTAATTCGTGGAATCTGTAAGTTTTTTTCAGGGCACTTACTTATTATGCAGGCATGCTTTTTGCTTCACAAAGCTTCTGTTGCCTTGGCATTAGAACATACCAACTACGAACAGATTTGCTTTCCAGATCCATCAAACTTTCAGCCTCTGCAGTAAGTATTCCTTCAGCTTCATAGATAAAACTATTTTGTGTAATATTTGAGAGAGACACTAATTTTGCGATGTTGCCAATATATGTGCATTAGCTGTATTTTCTTTATTTCTTGTTACAGTGATCCAAACATTTAATATCAAGAACAAGATAAGATTTTTGAATCAGTCAAATATTTAACCACACTAGCATAACAGAATTTGGTGATTATTGCTTTGTGTGTCCTTTTCAGTCTTTAAAGTCACATCTAGCACCTATCAGGCCAGAAGGATTGCCTAGTTGTTAGGGCACTAGAGCTTAAGATACAGGGGACAGGTTCAATCCCAGCTTTATCACAGACTTTTGGTAAGTCAATTAATTTCTTTGTATCTCAGTTTTTGTTTAATGAAATGAGTGTAGTGGTGCTTCTTGATGCTGCAATAACAAGGGGTATATAAGTACCTCAATTTTATACCGAATCTTCTCAATTTCCCAGCTTAACCGCTTATAAGATTGTGTAACTTCATTTTAAGTCTTCAGTTTTGTTTAGGGAAAACAGAGCTTTGCAACGTAGTAGGTGGTTAGAGGTCACACTCTGCATTGCATATAGAACACTGGAATGTAAGTTGTGTTCCCAGGTCATAACAGTTCATCTGGTCAGCAACCTGGGTCAACCAAAGCACATGTCAGATCCTTCAAAACAGATGTTCAAACCATTATACTGCGCAGTTGTAGCATATTTTGCCCCTATGAGAAGTTTCTTTTAGCGTGCAAGCTACTTTGAAGGTCAGCTTTTGCCTGAGTCAGTTTTTCATATGCTATAAGTATTTGTATTCTGTTTAATGGAGCTGGATATTCTCACTAAATGTGCTGAAATCTAATCCTGTTTTTTTGAAATTTCTTAAGATCTTGGCTTCAGTTGTAGCTTTTGACATTGAATTCCACAATTTAATTATGCACCATGTAAAAGTATTTGTTTCTATCATTATTAAACATATTGCCACTCTATTTAATCACAAGTTTCTTTGTATTAGGAAGAAAGGTAAATACGAGCAGCGCCTGACTTTATCAGGTGCATTCCCTGATAGAAAGTGTTAGGGAAAGCAGGGAGTCAGAGTTAGAGCTCGATGAGGACATACCTCTCCTGCTTAATGCTGATCTTAAACTCATGGAAATCCTAGCCCGGCACCTAGAAATGGCTTGAAGATTATCCAGTGATGATGTAACTGTGCTAAAACAAAAAAGAGCGTTAAGAATTCTCATGACATTCTGGAAGAAAGAATGCTACTTAAGGTGTCATTTAAAATGTCAGTTAATTGGTTGGCTTTCTCAAAGTAATAAGGTGGACCTGAACCCCACTGTAAGCTGAATCTGTGAAAACCTGAAAACTAATGCAGGTCCAGCTATTCTGTTTTAAAACGAGTTTCAAGGTACAAGAAAAAAATAAATAGGGAGGTTTGAATCATTAAATATTTAAACTTAAAATAGTATGAGAGCTGTAAGGTGAAGGCTTATTTTACTTGTCAATACATTTTTAGCTTGGGAAGGTTACTTAATGCAGTTAAGATTTACATTACAGTTAATTATAAAAGTCCTGCAGTTGATAAGCCTTTAGGTTTTAGCAAATAGAAACAACTTCAAGAAGAGCTGCTCAAGGGAACAAATTTACCCAATGGCAGCATACAGAATTCTCATTATTAACTGGAAAGATTGAAGGTGAGACTTCTTATTCCTTGTAGAACGATAAGTAGTCTAGCATGTGAAAAAAGATGTGTGTGTGGCTCAGTTTAAGTAGTACCTGTGTTATTTGTATTTATGTAGTACAGCTAAATATTAATAATATTTACCAAGACATACACTGTAAAATTGGATTAATCTTCTAAACTGTGTGTGTGTTTTTAAATAGATGCAGTACAGTTTATCTGGTCAGAACAACTTCTGAACTATGGTGTATGTTCTGTGTCAAGAAGTACAACTTTACCTGTCTAGTTACCTTAATGGTTTTCTTCCTGAGGACAAATAAAAGGTGTCCTGTGCTTAATTCCTCTGGTGTTTGTGTCTCATAGATGAGGTCAGAATCAGATCTGTAGAGAAGACATATGAGCAGAGAAGTATCTGTTTAATTTTGTAGCTTTCCATTCTTCAAATCATTATGTATATGGTAGCTTCGTTACTGTAAACAGGTTGAGTGCAAACATGTGCCTGTGTAATATTTCTACTATGAGTCTTTCCTATTGGTTCAAAGTTGAAACTTGGAGTGTAACAGTAAGGCAGACATTTTCTTCTCAGAGTATGGTAGCTAGAGTGTGGTTTTTGAATCTTTCAGACAATAACAATCGCTGGCTGTGGTAAAAGTCACTAAAATAAGTAGTCTGACTCAAAGAAACAGTGTCCGGAGTACTGAGCGACTATGTAATTCTTATGTAATTTTTTTCCAGTATCAAGCTGGTTTGCAAAGATATAAATGGGCTTACGCTTTTTCTGCTTGCACATAGAAATAAATCTGTTTTTCTCCCTAACTTTCTTTTCTCTTTTTAGCTTAAAAATACCACAACTATCAATAAGTTTTTCTCTGCCTTTACAGAGAATACTCATTGAAAGTCTATTCTAAAGCAATTTTCCAAGACCTTAATTGAAGGTCTGAATATACAGCAAAAACATGTTCCAATGTGGTTTTGCTGTGTTGTAAGTAAATACTTTAAAGTTTTAAAAGTCTGAATGAAAATAGGAAATGTCTTTGCTGTTTTCCTCTTACCCATCAATTTAACAAATAAAATTACATAGAAAATGCACACTTTCCAAGCTGGATTGAGCAGGAATTGGGCTAGAAATAACAGTCTTTAAGTTGTTAGTATATGATAGAAAAGAAAAAGAATGTATGTACCCTATTTTTTTCTTTTTAGGTCATCTTTTAAAGTTGTTGAGCTAAATTATTCCCCTGCTCCATCCTTGCTGAAAGTTCAGTGGCTTTAGATAGTGATGAATGAGAACTTAGGACATTTTTGTGTATTTTCTTGTTAGTCTGAATTCAAGCTATTATAGAAGCTTTAATGAAAGAACATGTCTATAATTTTGTGTAACTACTGAAATTCAGCTGGCAATGGTATATTTGAGAAAGCAGGAAGGAGGGTTTGTCATGCAGAATCCAACAATATAGTGCTTTGTCTTTCTTAACAAACCCCTTCTGTCTGTATATTTTGATCTTGCAGACAATGGCCTTCAGACACAAAAACACAAGACGAATTGAAGGCCTTGATAGCAATGTGTGGTAAGTAAAAGGAAAATATCTGCAAATTTCAGAAAATATATTTGGCCGATATTTCTTTCCAAATTGATAATTATTGCCACTAAGAAGGTACATAGCACTTTCTATCTCTGCTGAAGATATATGTTTTTATATATATATATGCGCCATATATATATGCCGTATATTTGGCACCTGCTTAGAAGCAATGAACCAAATTCTGTTAAAGGTGTGAACTAATTCTTATTCTTGAGCTTTAAATATTAGGTTTGGGCTTCTCTTCATCTGGTAAATCATGTAAGACAAGTATAACTCTTGGGCATGGTAGTATAGCTGACTTTCAAATTTAAACGTTAATTTTGTTGAGTAATGTATTTCAATTACACTTGATTTGTGTTTACCAAATGAGTCAGATTTCTTTTTAAAGGCGTTATACTTGTCTTTATAATTTTTCATTATTTTTAATACATTTTTTTCTAGGTATTAAATTGGTCTCAAAGCAATATTGCCATCACTGGCAAATATGGGATTTTGTTAGTTGTTGAAAACACTATTTTGGGCTTACATTACTTGTATGCATATGCATGTATATATACGCAAGGTGTTTTGGTCATCCAGCTTCAAACTCATTTTTAGCTATTTGTATTGATTTTTGACAGAACTGTGATGCTATGTGGGGTTTTTTTTTTGTTTTGTTTGGTGTTTGGTTTTTTTTTTAAGTCTTGTTAACATTTGGGTAGTGAGGAAAGGGTAAAATGGAAAGCTTACCTGTGAAGCGAGGAAAAGAAAAATTGTTCAAGAATCCTAATGTTCGCATCTGGCAGGCTACTAGGAACAGTTAATGAACAGCCTGAAACAGTCTGTTGCCTAAAATCACAAAGCAAATTTTATAGCAATCTGAGGTGACTGGATAGTTTAAACGACACCTTCACTTGACAGAATCTAGCCTTTAAATCATTTAGGGTGCCTGTTCTAGTAGGTCTACTTCATTTTGCAAAGAGAGTAGTGTTCCGTTTCTGCCTATATCCAGCGATACTGTGTGTTTGTGTGTGTGCACATCTGAGCACAGTTCTGCTGGCAGGAAAGTTATTCTGTGGATGCAGAAAGTCAACCCTTTATTGGGTTCCCTCTGACTCCTGTGGTTACTTACCATTGTCCCAGCCCCCTCCTCTCCATGTGAGCACTCTATTTAAACCTGTTTCCACTGCTGTGAATTTGACAAAGTGAAATACTTTTTTTGCCTTTTAATGCTAATGAAGGAAGAGATAACTTTATCTGGTATGTTAACTTTAAGATGTTTTGTTCCCTTCAGGGTTGAATTTACAAAGGTGGCAGCAGATCCCTCAATTGTTAATCTTGGTCAAGGCCTTCCTGATATATCCCCTCCCAGCTATGTTAAAGAAGAGCTGGCAAAGGCAGCGGCAGTTGACAGACTGAACCAGTACACACGAGGCTTTGTAAGTACTGTGAAACTTGAGGACCCAAGTTCAGTGGAGAACACGCCACAGGGAAAAAAATCGACTTTGTGTTGTGGTTTAACTGCAGCCGGCAACTAAGCCCCACAGAGTCGCTCGCTCATTCCCCCATGGTGGGATGGGGGAGAGAATCAGAAGAGTAAAAGTGAGAAAACTTGTGGTTTGAGATAAAGACAGTTTAATAGGTAAAGCAAAAGCCATGCGTGCAAGCAAAGCAAAACAAGGAATTAATTCACTACTTCCCATTGGCAGGCAGGTGTTCAGCCATCTCCAGGAAAGCAGGGCTCCATCACGCGTAACGGTTACTTGGGAATACAAACGCCACCACTCCGAATGTCCCCCCCTTCCTTCTTCTTCCCCCAGCTTTATATGCTGAGCGTGATGTCATATGGTGTGGAATATCCCTTTGGCCAGTCTGGGTCAGCTGTCCCAGCTGTGTCCCCTCCCAGCATCTTGTGCACCTGGCAGTGCATGGGAAGCTGAAAAGTCCTTGGCTAGTATAAACGCTACTTAGCAACGACCAAAATATCAGTGTGTTATCAACATTATTCTCATACTAAATCCAAAAACAGCACCATACCAGCTACTAAGAAGAAAATTCACTCTATCCCAGCTGGAACCAGGACACTTTGCTTTAAATTAGTTTTATCTGTAGGTCATACTGTTATGTCCCAAATTAAGTTGATCTAGTAGCCTTATCTGTTACTAATGAACATCCTCTGAGTAGGCTTCTTCAAGGCAGAATCCTTCAGTCAGAGCAAAATGGTAGAGAACATGTGGGATAGATTGTCTCTGAAGAGTCAATTCACAGTTTAAAGAGTGTAAATTATACATTTACCTCTGATTTTGGTCAGTGTAAACATGAATCAGATAGGATAACAGTAGAATGAGAAAGAAATACTTGATACCAGTTGAGACAGTGCCTATAGGATCAAGAAAAGATTCACCCATAACATCTAGTAGATTTCAGTGCAGATTAGGAAGTGATAAAAACAGTAAGTTTTTTCCCCTGGAAGATAGTCACTGCCCATTCTGTAAGTCGGCTTGTAGAGTTTATGTCTTGAGCTGGGTGTGAGTGTGTGGCATTTATCATTGTCCAAGGCAGGATGTTTTAGTATGACCACTTCCTTGTTTGGTTTGTCTTTCTTATATTTTGTGGTAAAGATAAACCATGTTGCCCGGCTGAGAATCATCTGTCAGTATTGCCTCAAGACCCTAAGGAGTCTGTCTAATATTTTTCTAGATGACTATGTTTTGCAACAGTGGTAGAAAAATATTGTATAGACTGGTAGGCCAGCAATTGGTTTGGTAGTTGTGGCATCATTGTGTATATATTCCAACATAACTTTTTGCCTGTTCTCTGAGAATCTGCATGCATTAGAACTGACGGGGAGCAGCAGTGACCAGCAGCTCCCTAAAGGAGAAGCTATCGCAGCAAGCAGGGTGGAGGCCTCACCAGCCCAGTCTCACAGTACCTGAGCAAGGCGGGCCCGGAGATGGTGGCTGAGGTCAGCCCAGATCACCAGGCAAGCGTGTGGTGGTGAGGTGGGCCTGAGGTCAAGCCAGGAAGTCAGTCCACGGGTCAGGCCCAGCAATGCTAACCACAGTTAGATGTAACCCAGTGATCACTGGCCAGGTCCAGGGTGACCAGACAGGTCTAAGGTCAAGCCACAGAATCAGTCTTACAGGTAGGGGCCAGGATCAACAGGGTCTATGGCCAGGTACAGGCATGGCTGTAACTGAATTGCAGACCAGCAACCCTACTGCGTAGCACTTAAATGGAGCCCCTGGACCAGGGGCACAGCTCTGGGTAGAGGCCCCAGGTGAGGCCATTAGGGTGCTCAGGGCCCTGACAAGAACAGAAAAAAAGAAAAAAAGAAATCCCCAGTGAATGGAACCTCATTACCATCCTTCTTTGGGTCACTTTGTTTAATCACCTTTAGTTGTGTGCAGAGTCTCTGCAAGGAGAAAATCTATCTATCTATCTATCTATATCTGTGTAACTTGAAAGTGTAAAGCAATTGTTTAGTGGCAGACACATGCAAAAGATGGGTGGGGTTTAGTGAACTTCTGGGCTAAGCATTAGGATGTTCATCAGCCACAGTAAGGTACCTGAAATGTCATTGCTCACCAGGCAGGCAAGGTTTTGGAGGAGCCTTGGCACAGGGAAAAAGGCTACAGAGAGAATGGGCTACAGTCTACCCTCTGGCAAATATTCACAGACTGATTCTCTAAAATAATTTACAAATCAGCCATAAATGTAATTTTCCCAATGCATGCAATTATTCAATATTTACTTCTTTCACTTTCTTCTTTATTTCCAAATAGTTTGATAATTCCTATGATAACTATGAATGTTTGGAGATATGTTATGCTGTAGATAGTAATTAAAGTGGAATTTTTACCAATATTCCCATTTTCAGCCTTTGCACTTCCTCTACAAACTTCGGCACTTCTAAGGTTTTTGAGCACAAATATTTGTGGTAGCAAATGTGGGAGGGATGAGTATGAATGATGCACATCCTCTGATAATTGAGACATTGTCTCAGCTCTCTGCAGCGCTTGGACCTCTCATTGACTGTAGGGCTGTGGCCTGTAGAGTGACCTAACGTGACTTGCGTGGTGCAGCATTCCTGCGTAGCTGACACGCTTGTGGCAAGAAATGGCTGTCATTTGAATCAACAGTGACTTGTAAGCCTTAATTTATGGTAATGTTCTTGTTTACAGAAGGGTTTATGATTTTATGCCTTGTGTGTAGAGGTACAACGCTCAATATTTTAGAGAAGGACTTCTGTTACATAGTTGCATTTTCTCAGGAGCTGGTTTCTATTTCTACCAAGTATCCAAAAAGAAAAAAGATTTTCACAGCAGGGAACCTGTAGTCTTCCTGAGTAAACAGAATTGTGCCTTCTTATTTCCATGTTGTGTATGACCTTTGTTGCATGCTGCTTTTCTTGTTCTTTGCACGTTTTGAGAAGTGCACATTAACCACCATGTCCCTGTAGGGACACACGTGGTGAATGGTGCTCTGAGATTTGGGATATGATTATATGAATCATCATTCTGATCACAAGTGCTGTTTATCAGTAGTGTATAAACAGAATAAAAAGATTTCCCTTGCACCAAATAATTTTCAGTTGAAAGATAAGGAAAGAAACAGAAGGAGCTTCAGATAGAAATATGGGCGGGTGGGAAAGAGACTCTAGAAGGGGTGAGATGAATTGGTGTCAGAGTATTCCCTTCTCTCCTCCTGTCTCTTGCCCTAGCGCCCCTATAGGCTACTTGGAGCTATCCTGAGATGTGATAATAAGATAGAAATTAAAAAGCATCAGATATACAAAAAGAATTTCCCAGTAGATATGAATGAATTGAAGCTACTTTTCTTCCCTAATGTGCAAAAACTTCAAAACATGCTACCTGTTAACAGCCATTAACACTGAGGACTCATCTTGTATTTTTCTATTTCAAAATGTATTATTTTGATATATGTAGAAAAAAACCACCAAACATAGGCTTTGTACTTTGTCATGAACACACTAATCAGTTGCATTTGCTTGCTTTAAACAGGGACATCCGTCGCTGGTGAAAGCCTTGTCTCAAGTGTATGAGAGAGTTTGTGGAAGAAAGATTGATCCTCTCACAGATATCCTGGTGACTGTGGGAGCTTATGGATCTCTCTTTAGTACAATACAGGCATTAATTGAAGAGGGAGATGAAGTAAGTTTTTATTTGAAATATTCACATATACTCACTGAAATGAGAATTTGCCTGGTTTTTATTCATCCCCTTTTAAATATAAGTTAATGTTGGGGCTTCTTTCTGATCTCCATTAATTTGATTTGTTACAGTTGCACATCTGACTTACAGTTTCAGTAGCTGTGATCAGGACACTATCCTTTGGATGTCTTCCTATCATTCACCAACATACAAACCCCTTTCTTTCATACTTATGGTACCTGTAGCAGTTTGTTTATCACTATTACTGTTAGGTGACACAGTACACACTGATTTCTTATTTGAGAAAACTTGTGGGCTGTTGTCTGCAACAGAAGACTAAGGGTGGCGCAAAGTATTTTTGGTGTTTGAATAACCATTGCGTATCACGTTCTGTTTTGGACCATTGCATGGTAGCAGCATAGGTAGCAGAGAAGCAAAAAAGTCCTTTAAAGAAAGGATTGTTAGTTTATTGTACCAGCTGTGATGGTTCATCCCTTCACTACTGATGTCTGCCTTTTTGTCAATGATATTAAAAGTCATTTTGAGGGGGATATTTGTATCTGTAGTGGGCAAGAACTTTTTGTGTTGTCATGCATTTTGCTTTCAGTGATTTGTTGGTGTTGCTTGTGTAATGTATTCTCATCTGTATCTTTTCTTCTTTTTCCGTTGCTCTGATACTCACTTCTTTTTTTTTTTTCCTAACAGTTGTCTGCTATTAGCCTTTGGGGGTTTTTTTTGTTTGTTTCCTGTTATCTAGCCTCTACACAATTTTGCTTGAATTTGTCCTCTTTTTCTTTTCTTTAGATAAAATTTTAGGACGTAAGTCATTCTTCTGAGATTTCTAGATACTTGGAAATCCTGGAATTTTATGGACAGAATCAGGGCAGCTGTTCTGTGGTTCAACAATTTGCTGTTGCTGTCTCCCATCTTTGCCTTGCACCTTCAAATCTGTGTGCAGGACCCAAGAATTCCTAATACTATATCTTAATAGTTGTAATGTGTAACTATAGAAGAACAGCCTGCGTGTGTTGTCAAAAATGAGTAGTGCTTATTACACTTAGACTGAGGGCATTGTTATATGGTGTTCTAAAAGGAGGAACATTCTGCAATGTTAGATCAGGATGGAGTGCCAGAAACATCAAATTATGTCACCAAAGTAAATCTGGAAATATGATGGTATCATGCATGGTAAATTCTCTGTTTCTGATACTGATGATTGTAATTTCAGGTAATAATAATAGAGCCATTTTATGACTCTTATGAACCAATGGTAAAGATGGCGGGTGCAAAGCCTGTTTTTATCCCACTGAGATATGTGAGTAGCTTTTTAAAAATTATTTGTCATGTAAAGTTTCTCATCCATACTCAATACAGTTTGCTGAACATCATCTAGGTGATGCTCTTCTGTATGGTGTTTTTTTATAATATCCAATTATATAAACATGAGATAGATTGCTATAGTGTAAGTCTGAGAAAATGATAATCCAAAGCAGATATTTTATTAGTGTTGGAGAAGGTGAGACAATGTTTCTCGTTTACTTTAATTTGTGCATTCTGAAAGCTGATCAAAATTCCTTTTTTGGATGTTATCAAAGAATGTTTTCAGTGCAAATAAGGGAAGGAGGATCACATATCAGTGCAATTTCTGTATCTGCTTGTTTTCAAAAGATTTGATTTCTGATCCCTTCAGCAACTCCTACAATGACAGAATATAATTTCTTTTCAAAATCTGCTTACTAAATAAGGAGCGATCATGCAGTAGACATTTGCTATACATACGAGAATTACTGTTTCCTTTATTGGTAAAAAGGAATAATTTTGATATGGGTTAATTTTCAAATTGGTACTGCTGGCATTATTCTGTGAGCTTGCAAGGATTATTCTGGATGCAAAGTGTTGATCCTGTCACTGTTGCCTTGGGTGACTGGCAGCCTTGCATGGGGAGGGCTAAGGGGCTCTTTAGGCAGGACTGTTCCACAAACACCACGGAATCAGAACAACACAGAGTGACAAAACCTCCAGGACTGCAGTGGGAGTAGGTGAGACTGTTCATCTGGGTGCCCTCCTTCTAGGGACGTTTTGAATGACGGGGTTCCTCCAATTATTTTCTATTTCACACCCTTGTTTTTTGGTCTGGCCCTCTCCCAGTAATGTGCAGGTGTCAGAAAGTCAGTGTGGCCATGGTCTTTGTTCTCTGTAGCAACTGGCCCAAACTTGCATTGTCCTTGTGTAATACCACAGCAACTCCAGAGCCTCAGGGGTGCAGCTTTTTAACTGTTTGGCCATTTTCATATGAACAATGAGGAGGAAAAGACCTTGAATCTCTCCAGTGGTGATCAATCTTTCCAGCTAAGCATGCACACACTTGTTCTAGTGCCTGGGAAGAACATAAACTCCCCTGTCATGTGACTGGGCTTCCTGCATTACACGCTGTTATAATCAGCATGTGTGTAACCAGATCCTGGAAGCCAGTTCCTGGGGAGACTTTAAGACAAACAGTGGCCAGGAGAGGACAGCCACTGTCATAATAATTTACTTTGCTCTTAGCACCCCTGCCTGTTCCTGGAAGTGCCTTCTCCCAGGAGAGCAGGACAGATTGGATAGGTTGTCAAGTATGGTTATGAAGGTGTCTGAGGGTGACAAGTTGGACATCTCTGTTTAGGCTGTAACATGCTGTATTCAAGTAATGCATAAATTTATTGTTTGTTTTTTTTTTTTTTTTAGAAAAATGGTGGAAACTCTGCATCTAGTGCTGATTGGGTCTTAGATCCTGCCGAACTTGCAACTAAATTTAATTCCAAAACAAAAGCAATTATTCTGAATACCCCGCACAACCCTATAGGCAAGGTAAGAGTCCTGCTTTAACACTACTGTAATTTCAGAGTGTGCCTTAAATACTATAATTAATGCATTGTCCCTTACTTTATTGTATCCCAGGTGTTTACCAGAGAAGAGCTCCAAGTAATAGCTGATCTCTGTATTAAACATGATACCCTGTGCATCAGCGATGAGGTGTATGAATGGCTGGTGTATAAAGGAAATAAACACATTAAAATAGGTACTGATTTTTTGTGGCATCTTAGAAGTGGTTGTGGAATAATGTTGTAAACGTGCCTCTCAGATAATGGTTGCTGGAAGGAGCTCACACTTCAAGCTTTGAATATTTTACAATGTTTAGACTCTAAGGAGGAGAGCCCCTCCCTTTTCTGAAAAACATTTTAAAGAATAATTTCCAAACAGAATTTCCAAAAGCTCTTAAGGGACGTTGGAGCACATATCCGTAGAAACCAGTGGGACTGATGCTCATAAATCAGTTATGATCATCTGAATATCCCATCCTGATTCAGTTATTTTGTTGGCCGTGACAAGTAGAACTGCTGTTCATGTATGTATATTGGACTGTGCTTTGCTGAAGAACTAATTGAAGGAACAGGGATTAAAACTTCCTTCTCAAAGCATTTTAGAGATAACCAATGAGGGAAATGCATAATGAGGATTTTTGCTCCTCTACTCATAAAAAGAAAAAAAAAAACCGTAAAGATTAGTGCGGTGATAGTGCATGAACGCTGTCCCTCCAAAGTGGAGAGACAGTGTTAAATAACAGACATTGAATTCAATGAAGTAAGTCGCTGCATGGGCAGTGTGAAACATGCTGAAGTTTTCAGGCAGTATTGCTACAGGGGTAAAGCACCATTGCAAGAGCAAACCAGAAAACCAAATATGATGCTATGTCCCTGTCCCTCTTGATTTACTTCTTGATCCAAGTTTCACTGAAGTTAGTGGAATCACTCCCATTGTCTCAGAACGAATGTAGTGCAGGTTACTGAACTCCTTCCCCAATCCTGTAATGCTCCAGCTCAGTATTTATGTAAAAGTTTCTAGTGTGGTGGTCTTGGTTTGGATCTGCTGATGTATTTGAGCTGGCTAAAGTCCAAAACTTCCTTCTTATGTGTACAGACATTTTGTTTCTGATGGTAGCATCTTGCGTGAACTATCTGTTATGATGTACTTATTGTCATAATGAAGGCACATTTCAGTCATGTGCAATAGAGACATCTAGTTGAGATTAAACAATGAAATCAAGAGACATAAATATAACTTAAACATGAAAAAGCTTAGCTTTTTTCTTGGCTTTACCACAAGTTGAATGCTGAATAACTTTGCTTCTATGCTTCAATTCCATATATGTAGAGTGGCAATAAAAGAAACTTTCCATTAGTGGGGGCTACATCATTGTAAAAACTGAATCTTATAAATAGTAAAAAGGAAATTATATCTAAATGACCTTGCAATACTTACTAGCTCAGCTACACAGTTGCTGATCATACAGCTGCAGTATGTTGATTGTATTGGCCATGCATAGGCTATGAGTCTGTTTTGAAAGTGGCCTAATTTCATGGCTGTTGTGGTGCCTTGATAGCGATACCTTCTCGAAGACCTGCAGACATGGAAGAAGGGGAACATTTTGGGTACATTCGTGCGATAGTAATCTGAGTCAGTGCATCCTGACAAGTTACCACAGTAACTGATCATGTGTGGCTTATCACGTCCCAATTGCAAGGTAAAATGAGTTAAATTAAAGCTTTCTTCATGGGCTTAGCAGGTGGTTCATGCAAATACCTATCCTCAGAACCAAAACCTCTGTGGGTGGTGCAAGGTAATCCATTTTCCTTTGCAATGGCAGTGGGTCCGAACACTCGTGTTGTCAGTTACGCTTTGTCTTAGTGGACAGGTGGTGAATTCTTAAGACACAGTAACTCTATTGTTTGTTAGTATCAGTATTGCCATTTTAATGCTTCAAACCAAAACGTTTCCAGTTGAACAAAAGGCCTTCTGTAGCTTATCATAAAATGTAAAAATACCACGTAATAATAATGCAAGTTAAAGCCTGGACAGTTAGTCAGCTAGGTTTAGGTACATATTCTCTAACAGATCCCATGATACCATATTTAGTGTCAAAATGACTATAAAACCTTCAGGGTAATATTATAAACAATAACATTATTTCAGTAAAAGAAACAAAATCTGTTCTTTTTGACTTAAGTTTCTTAGATTTTTTTTTAAGTCTACAAAAGATAATACAAGGAAAAATGAATGTGTTATTTCACTATTTAAAAAACTCTTGTGTTTCCATATTAACGTCTACATATTCCATCAAATGCAGTGACACTTTTTTTTGTGAGAGATGCAAAATGGATATTGCATCAATTTACAGGGTCTGATGGTGGTTCCTTAATACAATTTAACAGGGGTTGCTAGCCACAGATCATAAAATTAGTGCAGTCTTTGTGCTGTCACTGAAGCAGTTTTCTGTAGCGTAGAGCACTTCATCATGTTTCTCATCATTACCTGACTTCTGTAAAACCGTGGACCTCCTCTAAGTAATGATTAGGGTTGCACTGGCAGATTTAGAGATTGCATCTCATAACTGAGGATTCTGAACAAGCCTCTTAACTAGCTGAGTGCCATCCCAGGTAACAGGCTTATTATATGTGTTAGTTTGCACTTCATTAGTTTTTACATTGTAGTCAAACGTGGTTATGGTGTCATATAATGATGTTGCCATATGGCAGAGAAGAATTTCCCTCTCTATTTAAAACCTGCTGCTTGTAAAAGCGATGGAGCTGTGCCCTTTTGCTGCTGCTATTGTTTGAAATGCTGTTACATTCCATCTCCAAGGTTGAATTCCTATGACTATGTGGCAAAACAGTCTCGCTAGAGGGCATTAGCTTTGAAATTCAATTCTTTTTGCAGTCTGTGAGAGCTAGTTTTGTTGCCTTTAGGAAGTGATCTATACTCTTGACCCAGCTAGCTAGAAGATGCATCTGTTCAAACTGCTTTTTTGTTTTGAAGGTCACAGAGCAGTTGAGTGAATATGGGTGGGCTAACAGGAATATGAGCTTCTTTCCTGCTGTTTTGTTTCTCTCCTTGGCAAGAGTGCTCAGAAAAATACAATACATGTTTTCAAATAACTGCAGAGACTTATACCATGTCTAATGCAGGTAACTGCTCCAAAAAACTTCCTTACGAAATTCAGTGGGTTTATTTGGAAAAATCTTTGTTCGTTGGTCTCCCTGGAGGGGGGATTTAACAATTGACAGATTCATTGGTAGTGGTTCTAGTGTACAAATGAGGTGGAGCCGGATGTTGTTGACCACTGCAATTGCAGTAGTGGTATGACCTTGTCTAACTTTGTGTCTCGGACTTAAGTGTGTCTTGATTTATCTGTTTTTGTTGAAAATGAATTAAGTTAAAGAGTCCAAATAGAGCTCCCCTGAAGCAGTGTACAGAAAAAAATTTGCAAACTACAGGAAGAGACCTTTGCTCTGTCAGCTCCTTGGAAAGGAAACAAAGGGTTTTGGTCTCCTAGCAGATACAAATACAGAGACAGAGATAGGCCTCCATGCGTCCCTTAATCCCTGCAGACATCCTTAGGTAGCTGCTATTGTCGGTCAGTCCCAGGCCTGTTCAAATTATATAACAAAACATAATTTATTTACTCACTCTGCTAGTTTTCTGATTCTTATGGTGTTTGGTTCTGGGTTAGAAGTCTTAGTAATTCTTTTCTTTTTCTGATATCTGAGACAGCCAGTGATGCTGAAGTGGACAATTCTATTAACATGGCTTGCAGTGCCTAAGTTAATGTTGTATATGGTGCTATTATCAGGCATCAGAAATAATGCTGTCTTGAGATGAATGGGTAGCCACCTCTTAGATTATATCTTTCTTATGAATAATTATGCATTTTAGCTGAGGATAACTACCATGTAGTTTTCACAAACTGTGCCTCTCCTTTTCTGCCTCTTCTTTCTCCTTTCATTAATCCTTAGCTTCTTTTCATGCCAAAAAGCATTGGTCCCTATATCCTTTCTCATTTGTTACAATCACTATAATTTTAGAATATTCTCATTGCTTGCTTAATATGCTGCAATGATATATCGACATATAGTTCTGAGCTAGGGACAGTACAGTTTTTCTAACTACATGGAATATGTGAGTGCACCTGTACCCAATTAATTTTATTTTATATACAGCTACATTGCCAGGTATGTGGGAAAGAACAATAACTATAGGAAGTGCTGGAAAAACATACAGTGTAACTGGCTGGAAGGTAAGAAGCAGCAATATAAAAGAGTTCAGTTATATAAATAACAGAATGCATTTATTACACTAAAAAAGTCTTCGTTTCTATGACCTGTCTTTTTAAAGCTTCTGGCAAATCTCCATGTCTCCAAAACATGAAGATAGCATTCAGCTGGAGCAATGACCTGTCTTGAACACCCATGTTTTAGTTCTTTTCTTGTCTCTCGATTAATAAGCTCTTGTGAGAAAACAATACTAAAAAAATAAACACAGTATGATTTGTTCAAAACCAGTCAAGATTCTTGGAGAAAACATGGATATTATCGTATTTTAAGTTTCCAGTTTTGTGGTGATATTTTTCAGATGGTGATAATGGTATGTTTTGGAATGGCTTATATTTCTGTAAAATATTTAGTGATAATATTTTGCTTGACTTTAAAATACCTTTCAGAAAGTAAACAAAAATATTTAACCATTTGGCAGCTAAAGGCTTTCTTCTTCATCACCTGTATTCAAACTGAACCATGACATATATGATTCAGTAGTGAGCTTTTGTTTTATGCTCAAACCACCTTTGACACAGGAGCTTATGAGATGGAAAGATTCGAAAGCAATTAGGAATAACATTCCTCATAAATGCTCAGTTTGATTTCTAACCCTTGTTATATGAAGAGTTAAAAGCTTGCTCAGTGCCCTATGAGAGATAGGGATAAGTGAAACTATAACTGTTGTCTCAAATCTAGAAATTTTTTTTATGGCATCATTCAGCAAACTTTGGTAAACCAGGTCTTTTCTTAATTCTTTATCAAAACAAATTCACTACCAATTCTTAAAATAGAAAAACTTGAGATATCGGCTAATTTTAATTCTGTGTTAATTTTTAGTAACACCACTGCTGTAAGTATGACATATGCATGCTTTCTTCCCTTAGCTCGGTTGGTCTATTGGCCCCCAGAACCTGATCAAGCATTTGCAAGTTGTTCACCAAAATACACTGTATACTTGCCCAACTCCATTACAGGTAGGTATAGATGGTGCAGAGGAGGTTATTTTCTGGTGTTGCAAAACTGTAGGCCTCACTGTAATAAAACAGTAATCACAACAAAGAATTTTTAGTTGTCAAAATACATCTTCTGGGGTGCAAGAGGAGGAGACATTTAATCAGCTCACCAGACATTTAAAAAAAAAAAAAATCACAGTCTTGCAGATTCTTTCTTCTTTTACTTACAAACTGCTGCTTCTTGCCTAAAACATCACAATCTTAGTGGTTTCCTAGCAAATACAAATAAAAGTTGTTGCAATAAGGTCTTGTTTTACTGAGCATTATCTCTGTCTACTAGTTTCTAGTATTCTATGATATATTATTATCAATAATTTAAACTTAGCTTCAATTCAGATTGTAAACCTTTGTGTGAAGGACTGTGACTTCTGTATATGATTAGTGCCTAGCAAATGATTGGGTGCTTTGGGTGTTGCCACAGCACAAAGTAAACAAATTACACACACTTGGATGTAGCTTGTGTAATTTGTATATGCTGATTTGCTTAATAAGGGCCAGAATCGAAGAAAAATCCACGTGATTTCAGTAGGAAGTGTGCGAGTGTCTGTGAGTTTACTGAGTGTCCATGAGTACTTCGAACATTAATTATGTTTGCAGGAGGCTTTGGCACAAGCATTTTGGATAGACTATAAACGCATGGATGACCCAGACTGCTATTTTTACTCACTGTCTCGAGAGCTGGAAATCAAGCGTGATCGGATGGCTCAGCTACTTCAAGAAGTTGGACTAAAGCCTGTCATTCCAGATGGAGGATACTTTATGATTGTTGATGTTTCTACGTTAAGTTAGTATAACATCTATTAAAAAGGGTGTGGAAAGTAAATATTATAGTTAATCTAAAAATGCAAGTTTCATTTTAAACTATATTCTCATTTCATGTTTGCATAATGTTGTCAGAAGTACTAACTGGGACTGAAATTTTCTGTTTGACCTTAGCCTGGGAGGTGGATTTTATGAACTTCGGCGAAGTTTTTGTTTGTGATCCTAACTACTGTCCGTGTTTTCCAAAGCTTTGTCAAGGTTTTAGGGAGGATAAAGGAGGTAGATAAAAATTTCTATTTTCAAAAGGTCTATGATTATGAAAACGTTTGAGAGCCATGCACCTAGCTTAATATCCTGAGTATGTACCATTTGTGCTTTCCCCTTTCTGTTTTGTTTTGTTTGTTTGTTTTTCTTAATCTGAAGTCATACCATGAAGGCTCTTGGAGGCATTCTGATTTCTAGCACTGTAAAATGCTACCAAAATTTACAAAACCTTTTGGAAATTCAGGATATGGTAACTTTAGAGGAAGAATTCCCACAGGGGAACATTTTCTAGTTCCACATTTTTCATCAACTGGTCCTAATGGCACATGTCATTCACGCAGACATGTTTAAACACAGCTGGACCTCACAGTGCTACCATGTGTCAGAAAATTTTAGATACCCCAGTTTCACGGATGAGGAAACTGCAGTTGCAGTGTTTATTGCTGTCCATGCAATAAATACACTCTTCAGTACCCTCCACAGTCCTGATCTCTCAATAACCCAGACTTCAGGACTTCTTGGAGTACTGCATGGCTTTCTTCCAAGCTACAGGTCTGAATTTGCTTTGAATGGAAAGCAAGTGCTCAGGTCAGAATGGAAAGGTTCAATCTGTTGGCCTATTTTAATTGTTATATTATAGTTTTTAAATTCTATTTTAAAATAAAAGCATACATTTTTATTCTTAAGTATTAACTATAATAAAGTGCTGTTAATGAGTGCCTTCCCAACGGAGTCTGGGGAATCTTACAACATGTTTGTTTTAAATTTAATTTTTTTAGATGTGGATCTCTCTGATGTAGATGAAAAGCAACCTTATGATTATAAATTTGTCAAATGGATGATAACATCTAAGGTAAGGTGTCTTAGTCATACTGTAGTTTTAGAAATGCTTTTCTATTGAAAGCAAGAGCAGTGCAACTGGACTTATTAAATAATGTAGTAGAGATATTCCATTCAAAATACTTGGTGTTCATAGTAACTGCTGATAATGATGTGGCTAAAATATTGCTAAATACGCTGAAAATGTACCCTGTAGGTTTGTGTTACATCCCAGCACTTTTCTTTCAGCATGCTTAAATGCTAGTTGTACAAAAGTACCTTTGAAATGTTTTGCCTAAGAAAAGTAATTTGAATTCAGTTAAGCCTAGCTAGTGCCTACAAAACCAAGCCTTGTCTTTCCCTCACATGTTGGGATGGAGAGTTCTAGAAATGGAATAGTAAAATCATCATGCTTAAAACAGACTTTTTTTAGACAGATATAAAATGAGCAAATAATATTTCTGGTTTATGTTTCAGAAGCTGTCAGCAATTCCTCTTTCTGCATTCTGTGGTCCAGAGACAAAAAGGCAGTTTGAAAAATATATACGTTTTTGCTTCATTAAGGTAAATTTGTGTCCTGGGAAGACTTAAGACTCTTTAAAATCAATGCAGTACAGAAATCTGCAAGAGACTGATGGTTACATTTTACCCAGGATCTCCTGAGTTGGATGGTTTTAGGAACAGAAAGTTAGCTTGGTGTAAAATTCAGCACAAAGTAGCTTCAACTGTCTTTTTGCTGAGGGGCTTTAAACCATAAATGTGGGTGGCATGGCTAAGAAGGGCAACTGTCAGAACACAGCTGGGTGGGTAGCCCTTTTTTAGCTTACTCTATTGATTTTTAAAATTATTCTTGACCAGTGGTGACAGTGAAAATCAGTGACACACGTATGCTATCAGTTAAGGTGAATTCTATAATCCAGAGCAGAGAACTGTTGTATAGCAGGGTGGTATACCTCATGCCCATTCAGTTTCCAACAACAGAAACAATGAAGAAGTCACCTTCAAGCTTAGCTCACTTGCCTGAAAATACATAGGGTTTCACACGAGCTCCAAATTACAAAAGAACACAAAGACACAGGAAGTTCTCTTACATGTTTTTTGTGAATTGGCTGACTTTTGCCATTTTGTGAGCACCTCCTTTTCCCATATTCTTCCTCCTGTGAAGTCTGTTCTTGAAAAGACTGAAAGACTTTGGGGACAGGTACATAAGCTTTGATAAGCCCGCAGCTCTTAAGATGTTTCCTGATTATTCTGTAACAGAGTCAGCATAATGGAACATGTGCAACTCTTTAACTGTTCTAGTATAAAGATCAGAGGAGCCTCAGCTTGAACCAGTAATGAAGGGGAGTTTCTGCTTGTGTTACTTAGTTCTTTTGATGGGGTATAAAGACTATGATATAAACTGAGCCAGTAACAACCAGGATGAAACTTGCTGGTTGTAAATGTGGCTTGCCCAGGATGAACAGCACTAATCATGTCAAGTTAAAGACTACTTGTATGACTCACCAGGTTGTAGCCAAGCCACACAACTGGCCAGTGGATAGATTACTCGTATTTAGAGGATTATGTTTAAGTAGTTCACGGCATAACATGGTTGCATGGAGATTTAAAAATCCTGACTGTACATGTAAAGATTGGGAAACTATGCTAGCATGTTTCCAATATAGAGCTGCCAAGTACATTACTGCATAAATGCCAGGCATTTATATAAGAAGTATTGCTTTCATTAAATTTGATAGTATGAATGCTGAGAAAAAATGGTATCTCTTAAATACACCTAATAAATATTTGCAAGGAATCAGCATTGACGACTTTGTGTAGTCTAGATTTGTAACTATAACTGTTAATGAAAAACTGACTGACAGATACTTACAGGATGCAACTGCCAAATACTGATTTGGGATGATATAATCATGACTGCTACTCTCTTTTTCAAGAACTCCATACTTGCAGTAATAGTGATATATCTTGTTTTGCAGAAAGACAGCACACTAGATGCAGCTGAAGTGATCCTGAAGAACTGGAATAAACAGACAGCCTGATTTTTCTTGTAAAATATTCTTATTATTATTCTTATTAAATATTCTTATTCTTATTATACCTCTGGTATAATTATCTAATAGTAGGGGTTTTTATTGCAAATTTAAGAACAAATTACTTAATACAGTACAGAATTAATATGAGATTGTAAATAACTTTGAGCTGTCACCTGCTGAGAAGTTAAAAAACAATGATTTACTGAAATGTGTAATGCAACTCGGAGGTTATTTTCAGTCTTCAAAATCATTACTTTTTTCCTAAAAAAAAAAAAAATCTATGGGATTCACTTATTTTACTGAAAGACAAAAATGTGTAGAACTCTGTGTAAAATAAATAGATTATATAGGTATTTTTAAACTTATAAGAAAAAAGTGGGAGGTGATTTTGGTATGAGATAGTATAGGAACTAGGGGTGAGACTTAAACATCGTGGTTTGTGAAACTCAATAGCCTGCAGTGAAGCAAAATTAAGATACACCTCATATTAGATAATGGCAGTGACTTTCTACATACATGCCTACCTACCCTGTCCATGCACAAATTGCATCAGTTTAAATAAAGTGATTGAGTTAAATCAATACAGTGTTTATACTATAGGCAAGATTGAAAAGTGCTAAGCTGCATAATTACTATTTTATTCTCCCACAATAGTCATGCGTGCTGTTCTGGAAGTGTTCAGTCCTCAATAAAAGTGGCATCCAGAATAGGAATTCTGTTTACTCAGTACTGACTATTTATTTATTTATTACATGGATGAATCTACAAATCAAAATAGAAGACTTTGCTTTAGAGGCTCCTTCACTATCAGATGTACAGTGACATAATTAATCCTGTCATCCTTTTTCTTACCATGTTCACAACATCAGTAACTTCGCACCAAACATTTCAAACTCTACATCTAGGGGGAGCATGGAGATGGGCCTAATACTGTGCTATGGAGCTCAACTAACTTTGTTTCAAGCTCGGTTGATAAAGGACTGTTTCAAAAGAGATCGATATGGAGAATTCCTTTGTAGTTGCCTCCTATTTCAGTTCTCTCTGCGATCTTTTAATCTGTGGATGGTATTCCCACTAGCAGAAGCAGTCCAGGTAGGTAACCTTTTAAGGCTGTGTCTTATGTTCTCCATGTTGTTTCTGTATTTTTCCCACAGGCCTTATGGTGGAAAGCCTGAACAAATTCAATAGGTAGTTTTGCAAATATTTTACTCATTCTGTGATCACACAGCTGGAATCTTAACTGAATTCCATCAGGCTGTGACCATGGCCAAGGCCTGAAAAAAAGTAGAGAAATGGGACTGTGAGAACGGCTGCTAGGCTTTTTCATTAGTTCTTCTTGGTCTTGAGCTTTTGGGAGTCCAATAGCCGGGACTTCTGTAGTCTTTGTAGCTGTCTTGCACTAGCTGCTCCCTGAATCTCACCAGAAGATGGTTGGCTGGTATTTTTAAGGTGGTGTGTAGTCTTTGTGTAGAAAAATCAGTGTAGTAATTAAAATTACTTAACTGAAATTTCAGCATGATTTTCATGTGGAAATTCCTACATTCAGTTCCAGGAGGAACTATTTTTTTAAGATACTAAGTTTTTGTGAAATCTTACACTCTATTTTACAAGGAGTTTAAAATCTGTTTATGTAAGTTGCACTGGGGAGCTATGCTGTTGCAGGAACTAAGAGGGCAGTGCAAGAGTCTATTGAGCTGCATGATAATTTGGGAAAGGAAAATGTAAACCAGTCTGCCACTTTAATTGAAAAGTAATTTTTTATAAAATTAAGCAAATTTTTCTAGCATAAATACGTGGTGAAAACATAAGTTTCTGTGAAATGTTTGTATGATTATGTGAATGAAAATTTTCTAATATCTTAAGCCTCTAAAATGATACAAAATAATAAAATATTTGAATTTCAGTTTCTTGTCCTTGACACAGGTGCTTCTCAATGCAATTAAACCTTACGCAAGCAATATTATTTTCGTCATTGCTATATATAAAAAGTTTTAAAGATCATTGCATCATGCTTCTCTTGAAGATAACGGCTACAGAGCACGATTTTCTTAAGTATTTTTTAAAACTCTATTTCTACAATCTAAGATTTCCCTGAGATAGCTGGGTTGTTAGCGTGTGAGCACATACATAATTGGGTTGTGTGGCCTCACAACAGTAGTGAGGTATTAAGGGTGCTTCCATTCACCTCTCTCTGCAATGTTTTCATGCTCTGTTAAACAACAAAAAAAAGGCACCTCACTGCTTCCAAAAGACTTGATGTAACACACTTATATTGCTCTCACTGGCAAATGGGACACCCTGTGTAAAATCAGTCTAGAATATGCACGAAAGAAAAATGATATGCAGAGCTGAAGAGGAAATTAAGAAAACTATAGCAAAATAATTTTTCCATTGTTATGTTTGACTGTTTCAACTGTCTCACTAGTATGCTAATAACTCACCTGCTAAAGCACCGAATTTGAGTTGGGACACACAGGTGGCCAATGTTTAAAGATAGCTCTGAATTGTGTATAGGTGCAGAGCCTCACTTGTGTGTACTGGTTTTGGCTGGGACAGGGTTTGTTTTCTTCATAGTCGCTTGTATGGGGCTGTGTTTTGGATTTGTGCTGGAAACACAAATGTTGTGTTTCCAGGGGATGTTTTAGTTATTGCTGAGCAGTGCTTACACAGAGCCAAGGCCTTTTCTGCTTCTCAGCCCACCCCACCAGCGAGCAGGTGGGGGTGCACAAAAAGTTGGGAGGGGACACAGCTGGGACAGCTGACCCCAACTGATCAAAAGGATATTCCATGCCATAGGATTTCGTGATCGGCGTTTTTATCTCAACCCACAAGTTTCTTGCTTTTACCCTTCTCAATTCTCCCCCCATCCCACCAGGGAGGGGGGAGCGAGTGAGCGGCTGTGTGGTGCTTAGTTGCCAGCTGGGGTTAAACCATGACCCTCAGGTTACAGGACCCAATGTGTTAGACTGGAGTAATTTAATTTTTTTTTTTTTCCTATTTTGTCCAGGTGCTGTAATGTGGTAATCTTTTTGTTTCATCAAATGTCTGAACACATAAGATGCAGCACAGAGATGAATTAACACAGCAAGCATAATTCAGCTGCTATGGCTATTTATTGTTTCCTTCATTTGCTCCTTTGAGGCATTTGACTGACATCTGCTATTTTAACAAAATGACCATTGGCTAAATCAACAAACCATTACAAAGGACCTTTAGATATACAAGTAAGAACCAGTGACTTGTTTTCATTAATGTACTGTTCATTGTGTTTGCAAAGGCATCTGAATATCCCATCGCATTATTGTTGAAATGATGCTGGTAATATTAGCAATGTAAGAATTGCAATTTAATTACACATTTTTTTATTACTGACAGTAGCTAGCATGAGATACTTTGGGTGAAATTTTAAGAAACTCCAGAAGGACTAATTAAGTAAGTTTTAAAATAGGATTATTGTTGTAACTACAGTGATGGAGAAAACCAGATACAGCTGGGGACATCAAGATGAACTTTCCGTAAGTTATTAAAATGATCTGTTGTTGACAGAGACTGGTAACAGTGGTATTCCCATCTGCCACATCAACCACTTTTTTTGTGCTGCTTGTGGACAAAGCGCTTGAAAAATTGCTGCAGACAGGGAATAAAGAAATGCTGAGATATGATCTATCATATTTTTTGCAACATTTCTGAAAATGATTGTCTTTCTGTGGTGGAAATTAAACTCTTTCAATTCTAGTTAATGAGGATAGGGTCAGGAGGGACCCACTGTTGACAGTGATTGCCAGCAGATGATCTTTTTCATGGAACGGATTATATGAGAAGCCAGGACAAACCTGGAAAGCTTGATGGGACTGACAGTGCTGATGAGGCAGATGCTGCTACATACACATTTCAGAGGTTATGGGGTAACTTAATATTGCATGCTGTATTCACATTGACAGTTACAGTGATTTTTTTTTTAATTACTATTTAATCTTTTGAGTTTATTGAGCATTTGTGAAAAAGGTCATTGGAAATGGAAAAAGAGCAGCTTTACATTTATATCTTAGCATCTGTATCTTCTAATAGTTCAGCTTCCTTTTATTCCAAAAGGTATATATTTTTTTTAGATCTAAGGAATGTGTTGGCAAGTTCAAACTAGCTTGTTTTCAACCAGCACACAGCATTTCAGTCAGCAGAAAAGTGTTTAGAAGTTGTGTGATAATGAATTTGACTCAGTAGTCGAGAACTTTTCAACCCTGCTGAATTTCCTTCTTTGAGCTAGCAAATTGAAAAAGACTGTGTCTCCACTATATAACAAGAATATTAAGTGGTATGAACAGTCCTTTGTATCTGATTAATAGATAGCCAATTTACAACTGTTCAGAGACTTCAATGCTGATCACTTTAAAGCGCTGAAGTAATGACACTTTCCAAAATCTGTAGACCCTCCTGTCCTATTCATCTCTCTCTTCATCAGTGAGGAGAGGTGCAGACGAAAGGAATAGGGGTTTTTCCACTGTTTTACAGCCTGTGCTTGAAAACCTCAATACACAGACTAATTTTGCATACGGATCATGTCTTGGAGGGTTAAGAGTCTGGACTGGAGTCCAGTGCTGGAGGGCTTTGGCTTTGCAACAGTTCTTGTGGGTTTCTCCTTCTCCTTGGCCTGACGTTTACTGCCAGAGCGGGTGCGAGGGGGAGAGACAGGAGGGGAGCTGATCCCATCATGCGGGAGCGCGTAGGGTAACATGGCAAACCCGCGCAAACCAGCGGGCGCGTGTGTGTGTGTGTGCGTGTGTGTTTGTCTGCTTGAGTCAGGCTGATCAGTGTCTGTGCACGGCCCGTTTGCAAGGGCTTCCATGAGCCACAGCCAGGCTGCCCGACACCTGCGGGTCCTGCAGAAGGGCCAGGTTCTTCTCATGGTCAAATCAGCTGGGTGGCAAACCAGAACAGCTGTAGCAGATGATGCCAGTAAGGCGGAACTCAATGCCCAGCACCGTTTTGATTTATTAGAACAAGATTTTGGTCCCGTGCCAGGGGGCCCAGGCCGCGGGCTGCCTCCCTGCTCGCCCCTGCCCTCGCCATTCCCTCGGGTGGCCAAGCCCTGCCCAGAAGCGGGCCGGGGAGCCCTGCGCCTTCGCCTGCAGACGGGGCCCGGCCCCGGCTGCTGCAGAAGCGCCAGGCTGTGCTGTACCAACAGCCGGGCCGGCGCG